TACATCAGAGTTGACACTGGACACAAACACCGTGAGTGTCACAAATATGCAGAAAAGCCATATACACATAAGCAGTGTGAGAGAGGCTTAACTTATCACCACTCCTTTCGAACACGTGAAAGGCCTCATACTGGAGAGAAACTCTATGATTGTAAGGAATGTGGAAAAACCTTCAGTTCTCCTGGAAATCTTCGAAGACATATGGTAGTGCAAGGTGGAAATGGGCCTTATAAATGTGAATTGTGTGGGAAAGCCTTTTTTTGGCCTAGTTTATTACGTATGCATGAAAGAACTCACACTGGAGAGAAACCGTATGAATGTAAGCAGTGTTCTAAAGCCTTTCCTGCTTATAGTTCCTATCTAAGACATGAAAAAATACATACTGGAGAGAAACCATATGAATGTAAGCAGTGTTCTAAAGCCTTCCCTGATTATAGTTCATATCTAAGACATGAAAGAATTCACACTGGAGAGAAACCCTACAAATGTAAACAGTGTGGGAAGGCCTTCAGTGTTTCCGGTTCCCTTCGAGTACATGAAAGAATTCACACTGGAGAGAAACCCTATATGTGTAAACAGTGTGGGAAAGCATTTTGTCATCTCGGAAGCTTTCAAAGACACATGATAATGCACAGTGGAGATGGACCTCATAAATGTAAGATATGTGGGAAAGGCTTTGATTTTCCTGGTTCAGTACGAATTCATGAAGGAACTCACACTCTAGAAAAACCCTATGAATGTAAGCAATGTGGGAAATTGTTATCTCATCGCTCAAGCTTTCGAAGACACATGATGGCACACACTGGAGATGGCCCTCATAAATGCACAGTATGTGGGAAAGCCTTTGATTCTCCTAGTGTATTTCAAAGACATGAAAGGACTCACACTGGAGAGAAACCCTATGAATGTAAGCAATGTGGAAAAGCCTTCCGCATTTCCAGTTCCCTTCGAAAACATGAAACAAGACACACTGGAGACCCACCCTATAAATGTAAATGTGGAAAGGCTTTTAGTGATTTCTTTTCCTTTCAAAGTCATGAAACAACACACAGTGGAGAGGAGCCTTATGAATGTAAGGAATGTGGGAAAGCATTTAGTTCTTTTAAATACTTTCGTCACCATGAAAGGACTCACAGTGAAGAAAAATCTTATGAGTGTCCAACTTGTGGGAAAGCCTTCACGCGTTTCAGTTACTTAAAAACTCATGAAAGGACTCACACAGCAAAGAAGCCATATGAATGTAAGCAATGCAGGAAAGCATTCTTTTGGCCCTCCTTCCTTCTAAGACATGAAAGGATTCACACTGGAGAAAGACCCTATGAGTGTAAACACTGTGGTAAAGCCTTCAGTCGTTCCAGTTTCTGTCGAGAACATGAAAGAACTCACACTGGAGAGAAGCCCTATGAATGTAAGGAATGCGGGAAAGCCTTCAGTTCTCTCAGTTCCTTTAATAGACATAAAAGGACTCACTGGAAGGATATTCTATAAATATATGGAATGTTGGAAAGCATTCATTAGTTTTATCACATTTCAGATACTTGGAAGAAATAAATCCTATGAATGTAAACTTGGTAAAGCCTTAAGAAGTTTCCATTTCTTTCAAATAGTACTCCCTGATACATGCAAGAAGATTGATTCCAGTACACCCTGAGTATACCTAAATCCACAGATGCCAGCTCTTTTATAAAATGGAATATTTGCATGTACCTACCCACTTCCTCCTGTATACTCTATGTCATGTCTAGATTAATTAAAACATCTCATGCATTGTAAAAGCTGTGTACATAGTTGTATTGTTTAGGGAGTCACAATAAGAAAAAAAAATCGCTAGGCCGGGCGCGATGGCTCACGCCTGTAATCCCAGCACTTTGGGAGGCCGAGGCGGGTGGATCACGAGGTCAAGAGATCGAGACCATCCTGGTCAACACGGTGAAACCCCGTCTCTACTAAAACTACAAAAAATTAGCTGGGCATGGTGGCGCGTGCCTGTAATCCCAGCTACTCAGGAGGCTGAGGCAGGAGAATTGCCTGAACCCAGGAGGCGGAGGTTGCGGTGAGCCGAGATCGCGCCATTGCACTCCAGCCTGGGTAACAAGAGCAAAACTGCGTCTCAAAAAAAAAAAAAAAGAAAAAGAAAAAAAATCGCTATATGTGTTCAGTACACACCAACTATTGCAAGCCTATCCTATATATCACATATAATGTTACAATTTCTGAAAGAATGTGTTAACACCAACCACAATTCTGGTTCTTCTCTCTTGATAACCCAAGTATTATGATGGTTATGGCAATGATGATTGCTGTATGGTGCCTAATGTGATGTGTAGAGGTGACTAGATGTGTGTCATCAGATAAACAGTGAGACCTCAGAATAACTTGAATCTTGACAGGACATCAAGACCTTCATCTATGTTGGAAGACCCAGGTTCTGATTGAAGATGTTGACTCTTGCAGGAGATTAACTAATACTAATATTGGGATCTGTTCAGCTTGAGGGCTGAAGATCTTTGTGTTGAAGGCTATGTCTTCATAGTTGCAGATATTTAGTTAGAAACATTGTTTTGGGAACTAGTTCTTTTTCTTTCTTTCTTTCTTTTTTAAAACATGGGGTTTCACCATGATGGCCTGGCTGGTCTTGAACTCCTGACCTCAGGTGATCCACCCACCTCGGCCTCCCAAAGTGCTAGGGTTACAGGTGTGAGCCACCATGCCCATCCTAATTCTTTTTCTTTGGATCCTTAAAAAAACCTTACAGTGTTTATTTGCATATTTTTCCCTCATATGACACAGAAGCTTTTTTCAATCAAAGGATCTTAGTTGAGGTTAATAATCTTTAACACTTGCATCTTGCAGAGGCTATAGATGCCCCAAAATCTGCTGCAGATTTTTCATGTGTCCTAATCAATGGCACTGCCTCTTCTTAATCTTTTGCATCATCATCATTCATCATCACTTGTAGAGGATTTCAGTATGTCTTCAATTTCCTAATTAGTAAGGGTTTCTCTGTCCTCTTCTGTGTTCCTCAATGTTGTCTTTATTCCTGCTGTAGGAGATAGCCTTTTCCACCAACTTTCTTTGCAACATTTAAGATACTCCTGACTGCTGTATCAGTCTTGGAGAAACCCCTGAAATCACTTACTCCCTCACTCTAATGTCTTCCAATATGCTTTGGGTATCCTGGGCTGTAGGCATCTATACCCTCTGCAGTATAAATAAATAAATACACTGTGGTATAGTCAGGGTTAGCATCAAGGCAGCATAAATTATATAAAAGTTGAAGTGGGGCTGGATGTGGTGGCTCACACCTGTAATCCGAACACTTTAGGAGGCTGAGGCAGATGGATCACTTGAGGTCAAGAGTTCAAGACCAGCTTGGTCAACATGGTGAAACCCTATCTCTACTAAAAATACAAAAATTAGCTGAGCCTGGTGTCATGCACATGTAGTCCCAGCTACTTGGGAGGCTGAGGCAGGAGAATCACTTGAACCCAGGAGGCAGAGGTTGCAGTGAGCCAAGATCATGCCACTGCAGTCCAGTTTGGGTGACAGAGTGAGACTCCATCTCAAAAAAAAAAAGTTGAGGTAGATGTAAATTGCCTTTATCTGCTTGATGATGCCTTGATTGAGTGGCTGTAGCCGTGATACACTGTTAGAAGGCATGAACATCACTTACACTTTTTCATCACCATAACAAAGAGATTAGAGATCAGGGCATTGTCAGTTATGTAGAGGACCTTGAGGGAGCCCTTTCTCTTTGTGTAATTCCTTCACATCAGGAATGATGCATTGGTAGAACCAAGGCTTCGTGCGTTCTTTTGAGAACACAGGCAAGTTTTTCTTTTTTTCTTTCCTTTTTTTTTGTTTTTTTGAGCCGGAGTCTTGCCCTGTCACTCAGGCTGGAGTGCAGTGGTGTGATCTCGGCTCACTGCAACCTCCACCTTATGGGTTCAAGTAATTCTGCTTCAGCCTCCCCAGTAGCTGGGATTACAGGCACCTGCCACCATGCACGGCTAATTTTTGTATTTTTAGTAAAGACGGGGTTTCACCATGTTAGCCACGCTGGTCTCGAACTCCTGACCTCGGGTGATTCACCTGCCTCAGCCTCCCAAAGTGCTGGGATTATAGGCATGAGCTACCGTTCCGGGCCAGTTTTGCTTTATTTCTAAATAACCCAGGGATTGTTTGCTCAGTGCTTGAAGCCTGGCTTGATCTTGTGACCTGCTACATTGCCACACAGCACCAGAGTAAAGTGATCTTTCCAGGCCCTGAACCCCAGAGCATTCTTGACACTCAAATGGATGAAGGCACAATTGGGCATCCTCTTCCAGAACATGCCTGATTCATCACAATGGAAGACTTGCTCTGGAAGGGAACTTTTTTTTTTTTTTTGAGACGGAGTTTCACTCATGCTACCCAGGCTGGAGTGCAATGGCACGATCTCGGCTCACTGCAACCTCCGCCTCCTGGGTTCAGGCAATTCTTCTGCCTCAGCCTCCTGAGTAGCTGGGATTATAGGCACACACCACCATGCCCAGCTAATGTTTTGTATTTTTAGTAGAGACGGGGTTTCACATGTTGACCAGGATGGTCTCGATCTCTTGACCTCGTGATCCACCCGCCTCGGCCTCCCAAAGTGCTGGGATTACAGGCTTGAGCCACCGCGCCCGGCCTGGAAGGGAACTTTTCTTTCTCAAGTTTCATGAACTCTTCTAGGAACGCTGTTGTTTCCTTGGCGCATTTCCATCACCCAATGCCAGTTCTCTCATGTTCCTCAAGCTTTTTGTTTTGTTTTGTTTTATTGAGATTGGGTTGTACTCTGTCACCCAGGCTGGAGTGCAGCAACATGATCATGGCTCACTGCCTTCTGGGCTCAAGTGGTCCTTCCACCTCAGCCTCCCGAGTAGCTGGGTTTACAGGTATGTGCCACCACACCTGGCTTTATTCTTTTTATTTTATTATTTTTGTAGATACCAGATCCCACTATGTTGCTTAGGCTGTTCTTGAACTGGGTTCAAGTGATCCTCCCACCTCAGCCTCCTAGAGTGCTGGGATTACAGGTGTGAGCTACTATGCTGGGTCCACTTCAAGTTCTTGAGGCTGTAGTTCTTTACATAGCTGGCAATGACATGGAATAATTGAGACCCTTGTACACTATTGGTGGGAATGCAGAATGGTACAACCACTGTTGAAAACTGTATGGCAATTTTAATTTCCTCTGCACAGCATTCATAAACATAAGTTGAGTCACTAAACAGTTTAGTTTATGACCAAATCTTCCAAAATGTAAGAAGGAATTAGGCAGCACAAATAAAGTGGAAAATATCCTCCAAACTATAGAAAACTGAGAAAAAATAAGGCAAAATAAGGGATGATTGACCTGTAATTCTGTACCTGGCCTAGCGGTTCAACAATTAGAAAGAGATCATGGCCTGGCACGGTGGCTCATGCCTGTAATCCAAGCAATTTGGGAGGCCGAGGCAGATGGATCACCTGAGGTCAGGAGTTCAAGACCAGCCTGGCCAGCATGGTGAAACCTCATCTCTTCTAAAAATACAAAAATTAGCTGAGCCTGGTGGCATGAGCCTCTAGTACTAGCTACTTGGGAGGCTGAGGCAGGAGAATCACTTGAACCCAGGAGGTGGAGGTTGCAGTGAGCTGAGATTGTTCCACAGCACTCCAGCTTGGGCCACAGAGCAAGATTTGGTCTCAAAAAAGAAAGAGATCATCACATGCACATAAAAGAATTTTCTGATTTTAATAGTAGAATAAATGTTGAAAGAGAAGGAAATATGTGATATAACATAACATGGGAATTTCTGAGTGGGGAGAATGAGGTTGTCTCCACACTGTTATGGAATGGATGTGAAGTAAATGTTCCATTAAGGAAGGACAGTAAACTCTGATTTAATACAACATGCCTTTGCAATATAGGATGATTTATTTTTCATTGTAGTTCTGAGATTTTTTGGTGACTACTTGAGTGTTTATCATGTAAATGATAACTCATCACAATCAGGACCAGTTCTCCAGTGATCTATGGAGAAATTACAGTGATGTACAAACATACTTATTCTTTATAACTCCATTATATTTTTCCCTTTTAGGGGTATTTTGTTACATGTGTAACAATTTTTAGGATTCCACATCCATAAATAGATTTTTATAATTATTACATTGCCATTGGTACTTGTTTGGTTAGCCCACTTTTTATGCAAATATAATACACATGCATTATATTTTTATGTGTTGTGGGCCCAATAATCCATCAGTTCTTCATTATTTTACAGTTGCCTTTTAAATCCATAAGGATATGAAAGGTAAAGAAATACATGTTCAGTTTGTCTCTTATATAATGATCTTTAATGTTGGTCTCTGTTCTTTTCCTATGGATTTTGACATCATTTGCTGTCAGAGTAGAACTTTTGGGGCTGGGCACAGTGGCTCACGCCTGTAATCCCAGCACTTCAGGAGGCAAGGTGGGCAGATCACTTGAGCCCAGGAGTTGGAGACCAGCCTGGGCAATATAGTGACAGTTCATCTCTACAAAAAATCAAAAAAAGTTTGCTGGGCCTGGTGGTATGTGCCTGTAGTTCCAGTTACTAGGGAGGCTGAGGTGGGAGGATCGCTCAAGCTGGGGAGGTAGAGATTGTAGTGAGCCAAGATCAAACCACCTCACCCCAGCCTGGGCAACATAGTAACACCCTGTCTCAAAAAGAATAATAAAAATAAATTTTAAAAACTTCCTTTGATCTTTTTTGTAGGGCTTGTAAGGTAAGAACAAATTCTCTCTCTCTCTGTGTGTGTGTGTGTGTGTGTGTGTGTGTGTGGTGTATACACGTGTGTGTGTGTGTGTGCATACATATATACACAATGGGGAAAATCTGTTTTGTCTTCTGTATTGAACATTGAACATGTGCTTTGCTAGATATAGGATTCTTGGTTAAGGTATGTTTATAGCAGAGCATGGTAAGTGTGGGAGAGGCTTCCCATTGAAAGGAGGAATGGAACCTAACAAAAAGATTCCATTTGGTAAAAAATAAAATGGGTAGAAAATAAAAAAATAAAGGGTAAAAACCAAATATATTTTACCCTAGTCATTTATCATTACAGTAGTCAATTAACATCACTAAACGATGATAAATACGAAGAATGGGATGGAAGAAGGAAATAATGTGGTTGGAGATGATAGCATTGTCTGCTCAGGAAACTGAGGACAAAACAACTGGAAATCTATTAAAACTGGTGAAGGAGCAAATTTGCTGATTATGGAGTAAGCATATTCTGTATCCATGATAATATACCATTTACTTAAATATATATTTCTTGCAAATATATATAAATCTCTGAGGATGGCACTAATGCCATGTGCAGCATCTATTTGTGGACAAGTATGTGTGTTTTCTGATGATACTTAGGTCATCTCATCAGAAAACACTCATACTTGTCCACAAATAGATGCTGCACATGGCATTAGTGCCATCCTCAGAGATTTATATATATTTGCAAGAAATATATGTATATATATATATATATATATACACACACATACACACACACACACACACATAAACACAACTTTGGTGAAGTCTCCTCATCCCAATGTTCACTGGAGAGAAAACCTAAGATGTAGTAATTTGGGAAAATCCAATCCAAATTAACTCGTATAGTGCTCCAGAAAATTCACATCATCAAAGAAATGTTATATAGTTTATAACTGTTGGCCAGGCGTGGTGACACACATCTGTAATTCCAGCACTTTGGGAGGCTGAGATGGGAGGATCGCTTGAGGCCAGGAGTTCAAGACTAGCCTGGGCAACATAGTGAAACCTGTTTCTTTCTTTTTTTTTTTTTTTTTTGAAACAGAGTCTCACTCTGTAGCTTAGGCTGGAGTGCAGTGGCGCGATCTTGGCTCACCACAACCTCCACCTCCTGGGTTCAAGTGATTCTCCTGCCTCAGTCTCCTGAGTAGCTGGGATTACAGGAGTGCACCACCATGCCCGGCTAGTTTTTGTACTTTTTAGTAGAGACAGGGTTTCACTAGGTTGACCAGGCTGGTCTCGAGCTCCTGACCTTGTGATCCACCCGCCTCCACCTCCCAAAGACCTGGAATTAGTGGTGTGAGCTACCGCGCCTAGCCTGACCCCATCTCTTTTTAAAAAAATAACTGTTGTCTTTATCAGTGGCTCTGGACTATGGCTTCCCACTTCTTACATTCAGGAACAAAAAACAAAGGTGAAATTATTTTGTAAATTTTCTTTACACAAAAGTTTATTGTACGGCACATTGGGAGCCAGATGTAAGGCTGAGTGCCCCACAGGGTCGTGGGGTGAGCCTTATGCTGTGCTGAGGTGCAGGCTCCGAGAAATAAAGAGACAGGACACAGAAGTACAAAGAAAATGCAGCTGGGCTCGGGGGGGGCCACGACACCTATGAGCGGAGTCAGGCGAGGCCGGTGAGGTGAGGCGACACGAGGCTAGGCTGGTGAGCGAGGCTGGCAAGGCCAGGCTGTCGAGGGTGACAAGCTCCCAATGTCCAGAAGCATGAGTACTTATTGTGTATAGGTTAGGGGGCAGGGCAGTGAGTGAAATCATCTTTAAGGATAGTGATAGGGTCGTAAGCAATAAAACATAGGGTCCACCCCCATTAGGTCACCTAGGCCAGGAGGTGGACAGCGCACAGCAAGGGACCGGTTCCCACGAAGGCAAGGGCCGTGTACAGTAAGGGGTCCTCCCCATTAGGTCACCGAGGCTTGAAGGTGGGCCATGCACAGTGAAGAGGGTGCAGTGTGGAATACTTCCATCTATGGGAAAACTACTTCTAAGAAGATTTATAGGAGGATGCTTTAAGTCACGTAGCAGTGACAGACCTGTCAAGGTTACCGCCACCTTCTGGCAGCTTCCGATGGATTCTATGGGAAGATGCTTTTCAAGCAGCACAGTAGCAAGAGCTGATGAAGTTCACAGTCACCAAGGTGGATTGCCGTTCTGAGGGCAGCCTTCCACAAGAACTGGAGCAAGGTCCTACAACTCCTTTATCAGGAGGAGTGGCTCTTGCCCCAAGCCTGCCATACAGCGGGTATCTTTACTGAACGCTGCCACCTGGGCCATGGATTCTTGTCCTGGTATAACTTTTCCCTGAAATCATGCTCTGCACTGTATCTGCTCCAGGCATTCCTCCGATTATAAGCTGCTTATCCTTTAATTCATGCTCTGTACTGTGTCCACCCTAGGCATTCCTCTGATTATGAACTAAGATATAATTAATGGTAAATATGTAGGGAAATATTCTTTAGGTACTCATACTATCAACCATTATATGATTATATATAGAGGATTATATAAAGGGATTCTTCAAGCCCTATTTCTATAAACTAATATATGATTATGCAAAGGATTATATAAAAGGAAATAGCTGAGTAGTAACACTATAAAGTGAGATATTCCTCAAGCCCTAACTGTGCAAGGGTTCTGCTTAACTCTCATTCCTCGGTACTTATATGGGGGGTTACCCACATTTATAAGTTAAATAGGTAGTCTTTTTTTTTTTTTTAAATTAGTTGATAAATTTTTTTCTTTTTATTTTGTAGTGGCTTGAATCTTTGAGTTTATTGAAGCATATTTGTTTGTTTGTTTCTTTTCTTTTTCTTTTTTTTTTTTGAGATGGCTTCTCACTCTGTTGTCCAGGCCAGAATGGTGCAGTGGTGCGATAGCTCACTGCAACCTCTGCCTCAAGCAATTCTCCTGCCTCTGGATTTCTGCCCACTGCAACTTCCACTTCCCGGGCTCAAGCATTCTCCTGCCTCAGCCTCCCGAGCTGGGATTTTTGGCATGGGCCACCACACCTGGGTAATTTCTGTATTTGTAGTAGAGATGGGCTTTCACCATGTTCGTCAGGCTGGTATCAAACTCCTGACTTCAAGTGACCAACCTCGGCCTCCCAAAGTGCTGGGATTACAGGCATGAGCCACTGCGCCCTGCCTCTTTTTGTTATTTAAAAAGTTTTTTTTTTTTTTTTTGGGGTCAAAAGTTTTTTCCCATTGGAAGGAGGAACATAACCTAACAAAAAGCAAATATGTTTATTTACCCCAGTCATCTATCATTACAGTAGTCTCTTACTTAATGTCACAAAACATCAATCAACATGAAGAATGGGATGGAAGAAGCAAATGTGATTGAAGATGATAGCATTGTTTGCTCAGTAAACTGAAGACAAAACTGGAAATCTATTAAAACTGGTGAAGGGGCCGGGAATGGTTGCTCATGCCTGTAATCTCAGCACTTTGGGAGGCCAAGGTGCACGGATCACGAGGTCAGGAGATCGAGACCATCCTGGCAAACACAGTGAAACCCCGTCTCCAGTAAAAAGACAAAAAAGTAGCCAGGCATGGTGGCATGCGCCAGTATTTAGTTCCAGCTACTCTGGAGGCTGAGGCTGGAGAATTGCTTGAACCCGTGAGGCTGAGGTTGCAGTGAGCCGAGATCGCACGGCTGCACTCCAGCCTAAGCAACAGAGCGAGACTCTGGCTCAACAACAACAACAACAAAAAATTTTAACTGGTGAAGAAGTCAATTTGCTGCTATACTTTGCTGGAGCTATGATCACACTACTTTGTCACCCAGGCTGGAGTGCAGTGGTGTGATCATAGCTCACTGAAGCCTCAAATTCTTGGGCTCAAGCAATTTTCCCACCTTGCTGGGACTAAGGGTGCACACCCCGATGCCTGTTTAATTTAAAAAAAAATTTTGTGTAAAAGCGGGGTTTTGACGTATTGCCCAGGTTTCCAACTTCTGGCCTCAGCCGATCCTTGCGCTTTGGCCTCCCATGGTGCTGGGATTACAGACGAGAGCCACTGCAACCGCCTTGTAGTGTATTTCCAATGGGCGAGTAGGTTTAATTTCACGTGGTTATAAATTGTCATGTAAGGGGCCTTTGAAGCATGACGTTTTGGTATTTGTTGTGACTTTCCCATGGGCCTTGTGTGGCAGGTAATGGATATCCACCCTGTGAACTGCAGACTGGCCTGGATCTCGGCGGAGGTGGGAAACCCTTTCCTCCTCCTGGCCAGTACGGCCTGATTGATTGGCAGGTACGCTCCCTTTAGTGCTTGTCTGTGCGCATGCTCACTTCAGTTCCCTTCGGAGCCTCTTCGTCCCACTGTGTGTGCCTCAGGTTTGAGCGCTTCGTTGCCACGCCAAGGGGCTCTCCTGGGCAGTTCTTATAAGTGGTCATTCCCATAATGAGAAGCAGTAAGCCAGGACATAACAGGGCTGAGGAGAAGACTTTGCCCTTGGCCACTTCATCTTTTTGGGCATGTCTCACTTCTTTCCCAGTTCCAGCCCCCGCCCTTTGCTGCAGCCTACCTGGGTCTTCCCTACCTGAGATGCTCACTTGAGGCCAGGCGCGGTGGCTTACGCCTTTAGTAGAGGCAGGGTTTCTCCATGTTAGTCAGGCTGGTCTTGAACTCCCAACCTCAGGTGATCTGCCTGCCTTGGCCTCCGAAAGTGTTGGGATTACAGGCATGAGCCATCACGCCTAGCTGCTAATTTTTGTATTTTAGTGGAGACAGGGTTTTGCCATGTTGGCCAGGCTGGTTTCAAATGCCTGACCGGTCTCGAACGCCTGACCTTAGGTGATACACGCACTTTGACCTCCCAAAGTGCCAAGATTACAGGTGTCAGCCACTATGCCTGGCCTATCTTCTTCTTTCTTCAGTAGGGTCTTGCTCTGTTGCCCAGGCCGGAGTACAGTGGTGCCATCTTGGCTCACTACAGCCTTGACCTCCCGGGCTCAAGCAATCCTCCCATGTCAGTCTCTAGAGTAGCTGGAACTATAAACAGGTGCCACCACATCTGGCATTTTTTGTAGAGGCAGGGTTTTGCCATGTTCATCTTGAACTCCTGGGCTGAAGCCATCCTCCCACTTTGGCCTCCAAAAGTGCTGGGATTACAGGTGTGAGTCACCACCTCCTGCCAGAGCTGTTATTTCTTAGTCACTCCCAGATGTCATCCATGCTGCTGATCCACAGACCACAGAGTGCTGAGGTGATAACAGACATGGTTAGGCAAGCAGGAGACAGATCCCATGGTTGTATACCTAGAGTCCAGATAAGAAGACAAACTGCGTTTTTGGTGCTGGGAGGGAGGGTATGGAAAGGCCCCACCATTCCCATCATTTACGGGAGTCTAGACGCAAACATGAAGAATCCATTTTGATTCTTCAGTGCAGTAGAGAAGGCTGTGTAGGTCTGAGAACATATGCTGGTGGAGGGGGTTCCCACGTTAGTCTGAGTCTATGGTAGGTTTCTCTGGGGGGCTGATGCTCCAATTGAATCCTGAAGCCTGAGTAGGAGTTACACAGGCAGAGGTAGGTCCTCTAGAGTTTCTGATGGAGTGAAGGAGAGAGGAGAGTGAAGGATGGGTCCTATTGTTCAGAGATCCTGGGCGCTGCCTCTCACGCAGAGGAGGAAGTCTCAGGGGAGATGATTGGAGGGAAGAGAAGGGTTATGTTTTGTGTTTGGCCGTGATATATTTCAGACAAAGGGAGGTGTTCAATAGCTGTTGGACCTGGGATTCTGGAGCTTGCAAGAAAAATCTGGGTAGAATTTTGAGTCATTAGCATATAAAGGTTATTTGAAGGCCTGGGTCCAGAAGACGCCACCTGGTTTCAGGGTGAGTGGCAAAGTATAACCAAAGAAGAAGGCTCAGGCGACCAGAAGCTGTCTACCTCTGAGGGCCGAAGGGGGACGAGCCTGCAAGAGACTGGGCAGGTTGTGGGGTTCCAACTCCAAGGGAGCATCTAGGGGTGAGTGTTTACAGCTGAAGCCCCAGTGGGCATGTGTTACAGCTCTTTCAGTTTAGCTGTCTGTAGGCGGCTTGTGTTGGTTCAATTAGATCCCCTGCCTTATCGCAAGGACAGATGGCTTTCTGTATCCAGGGCTTTCTTGCCTTGGTGTACCAGAAGAATCAGACCACATGTGGGCTTGGAGAATGAGTGTAAGGTTTTTTTTTCTTGTTTGTTTGTTTTTTGAGACAGAGTCTCACTCTGTCACCCAGGCCGGAGTGCAATGGCAGGACCTTGGCTCACTGCAAGCTCCGCCTCCTGGGTTCAAGCAATTCTTCTGCCTCAGCCTCCCCAGCAGCTGGGACTACAGGCACACGCTGCCACACCCAACTAATTTATTTATTTTTTTTGTATTTTTACTAGAGATAGGGTTTCACTGTGTTGCCCAGGCTGGTCGTGAACTCCAGGCAATCTGCCACCTCTGCCTCCGCCTCCCAAACTGCTGGGATAACAGGCATGAGCCACCACGCCTGGCCAAGTGTAAGGTTTTATTGAGTAAAAGTAGCTCTCAGCAGATGGGGGAACCAGAAGGGAAATGGGGCGGGAAGGTGGTTTTCCCCTAGAGTCAGGCCGCCCAGTGGCCAGGCTGTCCTCCGACTGCCCCAGCCTAACTGCCTCGTTCCACCGTGGATGGTCTGTTGGTATCTGCCAGTGCCTGTTGGTGTGCTTCTTCCCCAGTGTGTTCCTCTCATTGTCCAGCCGTTTGTGTCTTCTTCTGCCTGTGTGTTCCTCTTGACGTCCAGCTGCTTGTGTGCATGCCCACTAGGGTCTTAGGGTTTTTATAGGCACAGGATGGGGGTGTGGCAGGCCATGGTGGTCTTGGGAAATGCAGCATTTGGGCACAAAAACAGAAAGGCCTGTCCTTACCCAGGCCCATGGGGACAGACCCAGGTGTTGAGCCCTTATTAAGGAACAGCACGGGGTTCCACCCTTCCCTTCCCAGCACTTCCCTGCCCGTCTCCTGTATCATGTCCCCCTGTGAAGAGGTACATATAACTTCCATTAGAACGTGGATGACAGTCAGTCTTAGGCTACTTCCTGCTGACAGGGGCGTTGTTTTCGGGACAATAGCAGTCAGATTCCTTCCAGAGGTCTATCTAAGGGTTCTTAGCAAAGGGGAGCCATTCATCCAAGGCTCCGGTTGCCTGTTTGGAGTTTGATGGCTTCTAAGCATGAGAGGAAAATAAAACAAGTTTTATAAGGTTTAGTATGCATGGGTTAAACGTGTGTTATACAAGGAAAGAATTTAGTGCCAAATAGTACGGAGATAAGAAGTGAAATATACTAACAACAATGTTGTACCCTGAGCTGTTTCAGCCTGGTGAAAGAAATTGAACCTTGTATGGGAGCGGTTAAATTATAGAAGACAGATAACTATTCTTGCCATATGTTTAGGAGTTAACAGGTGTACCCTGGGAATTCTGGGGTTTGTGTGCTTGCACGGTGGCTATTAAAGCTTTTGCCTCTTTCTTGTGTTTCCCTTTCTCTATTGTAAAAAACTGAGGTGGCCACTTTCAGGAGGTCCCCTAATGTACTATCTGGTCCCAGGACCTGTGTCTGTAACTTCCTCTTGATGTCAGGAGCTGCCTGAGTAATAAATTTATCCTTTAGGATTCGTTTTCCCATAACTGAATCAGGAGATAGGGAGGTGTGCTTTACCAAGGCCTCTCTTAGCCTTTCCAGGAAGGCAGTGGGATTTTCATCAAATCCCTGGTCGATCATGTATACCAGTACAATCAAGAGGTTGGTCTTGGTCCTACAAAAGTCGTCCATTATGCACACCTAAAAGTGTCTCCTTTTCCAGTCTTCCATCTCATTACTGGGATCCTATTTAGGGTCATTCACTGGTACTGCTTCTCTTCTAGTTGGATAATATTCACCCTCTTCCCTGATGCTGTATGTGATACAAGGCTCATCCCCACATCTCTCTGCTGCCTGCAGAGTGGCCTGCTTCTCAGTGTCCATCAGGGTCTGATTCAAAAGTAACATAATGTCTTCCCAGGAGAGTTCAAATATCTGAGTGAAGTTCTGGAAAGCCTCTATATCTATCAGGGTCATCTGAAAACTTGCCAAGATCCCCCTTGATTTGCTTTAAGTCCTGTAGGGAGAAGGGGACCTGGACCTTACTGAGCCCAAATTAACTCGGCATCTGTTGGAGGGACAAGAGTGAGACTGGGGCTTGTTTATAGTGAGGATTTCTAGGAGGGGGCAAGTGAGAGGCTGGAGCTGGATGGGGAGGTCGGGGTAGACCCAGAGGAGCAGGGGTTGAGGGAGCTGGCTTCTCTGCTAGGGGTGCCTCTGGGACTCATGTCTTTAATTCCCTGGGCTTGCCCCTTGTAGCCTTCCCCAAGATGGCGAACAGGAAGGCTGGATCAATCCTGCACTGTGGGCAAAGATCTGGATTGCCTTGCAAGGTATAGAAAGCCTGCACCTATGGGGCCTCAGACCATCTGTCCTCACATCTACAGAAAAGTTCCAACTGCTGGGTGGTACTGAAATGAATGGTTCCTTCCTGAGGCCCAGCCAATCCTTCATAATTTGGCCAAACCTTTGTACAGAGGACTATGGGGTATTTTCTCCCCAGATTCGGAGGGTCAAAGCAGGCCCAGTGGTTCAGGATACACTCCAGAGGAGCATAAGCTGGGGGTGGTGAAGAGAGCTGTATGCTCATTCTAAAAGACAGGGAATAGAGGCGTCCCTCATTCCCTTCCTTCTTTCAGTGAATACCCAGGGTATGATGGAGAGAGAAAGACAGCATCCTCCCTTCCCTTCCCCTTCTTATCCCTGAGTCCCAGTGACCTTGGCAGGTGTTGGCCATCGGTACTGATGCAGTATGTACCCAAGAAGCAGGGAAAACCTGGAAAATAGGAATTAACCGCTCTTTCTTATGCCTTCATTTTTTCCTGCTGTTGGTAACCTTTGAGTTCCCTTGGCCTGTTTATGCCATGAAGCATGGCCTCCTTCCACGGGTTTGGGGTGTTCATTCGGCAGGAATCGGTCCTTCCCACTTACATTGTGCCTGTTGCCTGGCTTTGGATACCTTTGACCTGGTTTTTCTTTCTAGGACCTCAGCCTGAAGCTCAGAATTGAGTTTGGGACTGAAAAGTTATTTCAGAGGCTGTTTCTATCTGTTGAGAGTCTCATATGTGCCCTGCCAAATTTACAGTTATCAGCCAGCAGGGGTCGTTCCTCTGGGAGGCCAAGGAGGGCGGATCACAAGGTCAAGAGATTGAGACCATCCTGGCCAGCATGCTGAAACCCCTTGTCTACTAAAAATACAAAAATTAGCTGGGTGTGGTGGTGCACAGCTAGAGTCCCAGCTACCAGGAAGCTGAGGCAGGAGAATCACTTGAACCCAGGAGGCAGAGTTTGCAGGGAAGCTGAGATCGCTCCACTGCACTCCAGCCTGGCGACAGAGAGAGGCTCTGTCTCAAGAAAAAATTAAAAATTTTTTAAAAAGAAAAGGAAAAAGAAAAATATTTTAAGGGGGAAAAGGGGGAGATCCATCCTGGAAGAAGAACCCCTTGCTCAGTGCAAGTGGGTCCCTCTGATCCTTATATATTTTTTTCCCCTGGTTCAGACCAGGTTGGATTCCGTGGCCCGGGGAGAAATGTTCTGTTGGCATGGTGGGCAAGAAGTGCCCTGTGTGGTCCCAGGTACCACCAGTTTTTCTCCCATCCCCCATGTCCCGGATGGTGGAGGCAGAGGTAGAGGCAGCAGTGGCCGTGGCTGTGCTTCCCATCACCCCTTCATGGCTGTTGAGTTCAGCTTTTGCCTGCTGCAGGCATGCACAGGTGCCTGAGCTGGGAGAGAAGAGGATAAGGAGAGGTGCCCTGAGCAGTGTGTGTCTGCAGCTGTTGGGGTGAGGCATAGATGGCACCTCTAGGAACAGTTAGTCTGATTTGCATCTTTGGTGGCTGAGCCAAACACTCATTTTACTGAGTAACATTGCTGCAGCCTGTAGCAAAACATTTAACATTATAAAGGAAGAGATAAGGGCCATTACAAACCTTGAGAGAGAGAAAAGAGATGAAGTCTGGGGGTTTTAACTGGCCCTAGAGCAGAGTTTTAAAACTCCAGGAAGGGAAACAGAGGCTCTTGCCTGCAGGAAAGACAGCGTGGTGGCAGGGTTTTGGAAGAGAGGCAGACAGTTCTGCATTTCCTTACACTCACCTTCCAAGATGCTGGACAAGCCCCCAGTTGAAATGGGTAAAGTTCCTTTATCCCCCTCAAGGGGCATGTGACGGGGGGAGTGGCTCACTTCTTCAGTGCCCCCACTGCTCGAACCTCTAGGGGGAGTTTGCAGACAGGCAGGTTGTGGGGCTCCGACCCCACAGCAGTGTCTAGGGGTGAAGGGCATGTGTTACAGCTCCTTCAGTTCAGCCATCTGTATGCAGCTTGTGTTAGTCAGCTCAATTAGACCTCCTGCCTTATCGCAAGGACAGAGGGCTTTTTGTATCCTGGGATTTCTTGCCTTGGTGTACCAGAAGAATTGGATCACGTGTGGGCTTGGTGATTGAGTGCAAGGTTTTGTGAAGTGGAAGTAGCTCTCAGCAGATCAGGGAACCAGAAGGGAGATGGGGTGGGAAGGTGGTTTTCCACTAGAGTCAGGCCACCCAGTGGCCAGGCTCTCCTCCTCTCCTCCATCCGGGCCAAACTCTGTGCCGTTCCGCTGGCATCTTCTGGTGTCAATTGGTGTGTTCTTCCGCTAGTGTGTTCCCCTTGATGTCCAGCCACTTGTGTCTTCTTCTACCTGTGTGTTCCTCTTGACATCCAGGTGCCTGTGTGCATTGCATGCCTGCTAGGGTCTTGGAGGGTTTTTGTTTGTTTTGAGACAGAGTCTTGCTCTGTTTCCCGGGCTGGAGTGCGGTGGCGTGATCTCGGCTCTGCAACTTCCGCCTCCCAGTTCAAGTGATTCTGCCTCAGCTATGTTTTGTATTTTTAGTAGAGATAGGGCTTCACCATGTTGGCCAGACTGGTCATGAACTCCTGACCTTGGGTGATCTGCCTGCCTCGGCCTCCCAAAGTGTTGGGATTACAGACATGAGCCACTGTGCCTGGCTGGTGTCCCGAGGTTTTTGTAGGCACAGGGTGGGGGTGTGGCAGGCCAGGGTGGTCTTGGGAAATTCAGCATTTGGGTATGAAAACAAAACGGCCTGTCCTCACCTGGGTCCATGGGCACAGGCCCAGGGGGGTAGAGCTCTCACCAGGGACCATGCCCTTCTTTTCCCAGCACTTCCCTGTCCCCCTCCTGTATTAGTACCCTGAGTTCTTTGTCTCACATTAAGAAGATTAAGGGATGTGGACACAGTGCTCGCTTCGGCAGCACATATACTAAAATTGGAACGATACAGAGAAGATTAGCATGGCCCCTGGGCAAGGATGACACGCAAATTCGTGAAGCGTTCCATATATATATATTTTTTTAAAAGGGATGTGGACACAAAGGGTAAGGTTGGGGCAAAAGTTTCATAAGTGAAAGAAGAAAGCTTTCCACAGTAGAGAGGGGGTACTGAATGCATTGCCTATTATGAGGCTGAGGTCTGGGGTTTTCATGGATTGGGAAGGGAAGGAATGTGCTTACTGGTCTTTGAGAAAGCACTACTCAGCGTGGCCCAAGGACCTTGGCCCAAGACCAGTTGGGAGCTGAAGTGAAAGTTTAGCCTGGGACCTTGGCCTGGGACCACTCAGAGGCTGAGGTGATGATTCATAGTGGCTTGGCTCACAGTCCAAAGCATGTTCAGAAAAGGAAAGGAAAGTGCGCAGTGGAACCCACCAGAGCCTCCTGTGTTTATGCCCACAAAAGGAGAAAAGACTATTTCCTGGAAGCCCGCTGGTTATACAAAGGACAAAGGTGTTTTTATGCTGGGCCTTGCTTCCTCATCAGCGTGGCTGCAGGGCATGTCTTTCACACAAAGAACAAAGGCATTTCTGTGTTGGGCCTTGTTCCTTTATCTTAGTGGGCCAGAGGTTTGTGCAAGTTTTCTTATCTGTGCCTGCAGCCTGATTTTTCAGGCTGTTTCTTTGTTTAAGTGAGTTTTACCAAGGACCCACCCTAACTGTCTAAATCTGCTCTCAGAACTACCTGAGACTGGATAATTTATAAAGAAAAGAGGTTTAATTGGCTCACAGTTCTGCAAGCTGTACAAGAAGCACAGCTGGGGAGTCCTCAGGAAATGTACAATCGCAGTGGAAGGCAAAGAGGAAGGAGACACACCATACATGGCTGGAGCAGGAGGAAGAGAGAGATGGGGGGGTGCTGCATACTTTTAAACAACCAGATCTCATGAGAACTCACTATCACTAGAACAGCAAGGGGGAAGTCCGCCCACAGGATCCAATCACCTCCCACCAGGCCGCTCCTCCAACAGTGGGGATTACAATTTGGACATGAAATTGGGTGGGAACACAAATCCAAACCATATCAACATGTTACCATGCAACTTGCTATTTCCACTTCAAGTTTCATACGCATACACTACCCTTGTTCTTAGCGGCTATACTATTCATTGTGTGACTCTGCAATAGTATATTCAACTGTTATCCTACTAAGGGGTAATCCCAGAAGCTTTCTGATTTTTATCAGTGTGGTGATCCAGTAAAAGTCTCTGGACCCGTATTAAGAATAATGACTTAATGAGTACGGTGGCTCATGCCTGTAATCCCAGCACTTTGGGACGCCAAGGCAGGTGGATCACGAGGTCAGGAGGTTGAGACCATCTGGCCAACATGGTGAAATCCCATCTTTACTAAATACGAAAAGTTAGCTGGGCCTGGTGGCATGTGCCTGTAATCACAGCTACTCAGGAGGCTGAAGCAGGGGAATTGCTTGAACCTGGGAGGTAGAGGTTGCAGTGAGCTGAGATCGCACCACTGTACTCCAGCCTGGTGACAGAGCAAGACTCCATCTAAAAAAAAAAAAAAAAAAGAATAATGACTGGATCTATTATTGTGAAGGATAGATTCCCACAAAAGACATTGCTCATTCACAATGTATATATATTTTCTTTTTGCTTGTGATTGTCAGGTTAAGGTTTTTCCTTCTTTCTTTTCTTCCTTTTTTCTTCTCCTCCTTCCATTCTTTTCGAGCTTTCTTGAGATATAACTAACAGACATAAACTACTTGGATTTAAACTATGAAATTTAATGTTTCACATATATATGCAAGTGAACCATCCCTACAATCAAGATAGTGAACATACCCATCACTGTAAAAAACTTCCTCATGCCCCCTTTCCTCCTTTTTTTTCTTTCCCCATCCATAACCTCTGACTCCAGCTGATCTGTTTTGTTTCTATGGCTTTCTATTTATAAGAAAGTCACGGCCAGGTGGGGTGGGTCACACCTGTAATCCCAGCATTTTGGGAGGCTGAGGCAGGAGGATCCCTTTAGCCTAGAAGTTTGAGACCAGCCTCGGCAACAAAGGGAGACCCCTGTCTCTACAAATAATTTTTTAAAAAATTAGCTGGGCATGGCAGCACATGCCTGTAGTTGTAAGTACTCAGAAGGGTGAGGTGGGAGAATCACTTGAGCTAGGGTCAGGTATCGGCCAGTGTTTTTCCCTAAGGTAAACTGGCGCTCGAAGCATCCCCTGGCCCCCATCAACCATTGACAGTGGGACAGAGGTTGTTGCTTCTTTGCTCAGCCCTGAGAACCACAGAAAGGGGACAAGGCAGGGCTGAGTGGAGAAGGGCAGGCTTTGGGGAAGGGGAAGGGGCTGATCCAGTCCCTTACACCTATAGCCCAGGCCCTGGCAGTTCAGCACTGGGTCAGACGTACCTAGATAATCCTCCAGTGAACCTGGGGAATGACTGTGTTAAGAGATGAGAGCCTGGGAGATGATGTGACTAAGGAGGGATGTTAGGTGTGGCGGAGGTCCGTGGGAGGGAGTGGGTTGGAGAGGAGCTTGACGTAAACTGGGAAATGAGTTAAAGTCCTCAAGTGGGAGCGGGCCAGGTTCATGCCTGTAATCCCAGCACTTTGGGAGGCTGAGGCCGAAGGATTGCTTGAGGCCAGGAGTTCAAGACCAGTCTGGGCAACATAGGGAGACCCCGTCTCTACAAAAATTAATATTAAAAAATAGGCCGGGTGCGGTGGCTCACGCCTGTAATCCCAGCACTTTGGGAGGCCGAGGTGGGCGGATCACAAGGTCTGCAGTTCAAGACCAGCCTGGCCAACATGGTAAAACCCTGTCACTACTAAAAATACAAAAGTTAGCCAGGCATCATAGCGTGTGCCTATAATCCCAGCTACTTGGTAGGCTGAGGCAGAATTACTTGAACCAGGACCCGGGAGGCAGAGGTTGCAGTGAGCCGAGATCACAACACTGCATTCCAGCCTGGGCTATAAAGCAAGACTCTGTCTCAAAAAAAAAAAAAAAAAGCCAGGCATGGTGACACATGTCTGTGGTCCCAGCTATGCAGGAGGCTGAGGTGGGAGGATCACTTGAGGCCAGAGGTCAAAGGCTGCAGTAAGCTGTCATCACAGCCTGAGCAACAGAGGGAGACCCTCAAAATTTTTTTAAAAAAATGAAGTCCAACAGGGCGTGGTGGCTCACGTCTGTAATCCCAGCACTTTGGGAGGCTGAGGCGGGTGGATCACCTGAGGTCAGGAGTTCGAGGCCAGCCTGACCAATATGGTGAAACCCCATTTAAAAAAAAAAAAAAAAAAAATGAAGTCCTGAGATGCCTGAGGATCAAGGTGTGGCAAGGGACCAGGAAGGAACTAGAGTTAAACCAAGAAAAGGTTCAGGACACTGAGAAGACAAGGACCTAACCTTGTGACCTGGATTGGACAAGGTCCCTGAGCAGGACTTGGGCAAGAAATAGATAATGACCTAGAGAAAAGAACCACCTGGGTAAGCCGGCTCAGCTTACAGGGGCTGGTACAAGGCTCGTAGTCCACCCTCCACATCCTGGGGGGGTGCATCTGGTAGGCAACTGAGACAGAAGATTAGGCTCAAGGATCAGTAAGGGGATCAGGGCGGGAACCTGGTACTGCAGTGGGAAGGGATCACAGGCTAGCCGGAGCCACCTGAGTGAAGACAAGGATATGTGCCTGAGGGTGGGAGGATCTGAGTGAAAACTGGGATCAGGCTGGGTGGGGTGACCTGAGGAGGAACCAGGTAAAGACTTGGTAGCAGTCCTGGGATTAGATGGGGTTCTGCCTCACTCACCCTGAACTCTACAGATCTGTCCTTCAGGCTGCTGCAGCCCTGGGACTGTTCCTTTAGCACAGTTGGCTACATGTTCCCACCCTGTGTGTGAGGGTGTCCAGGTGAGGGGCTGCCCCCCCATGCCTGTATGACACAGAGGCGGTGGAAGAATGGACTGTAGGATAGAAGGCACAGGATAAAACGCTGATTCCCCATCTGGAGAATGAGGGTGAGATGCATGGTGGAGGTTAGGCTGGGGTTCTGAGGCCAGCGTGATATAAACAGAGCTGTTAAGTGGGTTGTAGTGTCCTACCACCAGCTCAGTCTGGCCCACATTCCAGGTGGGTCAACAATATTGTGTAGGTGAACAGGGTGGGGATGAACACAGTATTAGAATGAGAATAATAAACGGGAAAGAACAAATGTAAGCACATTTCCCCTTATTTCATTAAACAATTCCCCAAACATGGGACTAGATCATTCCCCCCCAAAAATGGTTGAGATTCATTCATCTGATGGAGAGTATTTCTCTTTTCTTTTTTTTTTTTTTTTGAGACAGAGTCTTGCTCTGTCACCCAGGTTGGAGTGCCGTGGCACAATCTCTGCTCACTGCAACCTCTGCCTCCAGGGTTCAAGCGATTCTCCTGCCTCAGCCTCCCAACTTGCTAGGACTACAGGCGCAGGCCACCATGACTGGCTAATTTTTTGTATTTTTAATAGAGATGAGTTTTCACCATGTTAGCCAGGATGTCTTGATCTCCTGACCTCGTGATCCTCCCGCCTCAGCCTCCCAAAGTGCTGGGATGACAGGCATGAGCCACCGTGCCTGGCCTTCTCTTCTCTTTTAAAATGTGTAAATTAGACCCTATTTTTCTCATGTCATGCACATAAAAGCAGTA